GACCTTTCTTGCCACAGTTGCTAAATTGTCAATCACTACCATTCTTAAATTAGTAACACGGCTACTAAAAGGGGGCCAAAATTACTTGAGCAGACAGTCCTTGACTTATGATGGTTTTGTTTAGGGACCATTTCAAGTTAAAACAGCACTTGAAAAAAAGTTACTCAGGATCATGTTTCCCACTTACGACCATCACGGTCTTCGCCATCTGACTCCCTTCGTGGTCATCCCTTTCCTCTCCAGGCGGTGTGGTGCTGATCTCAGGAACCGGCTCCAACTGCAAGCTCATCAATCCTGATGGGTCCCAGATCAGCTGTGGAGGATGGGGCCACATGATGGGGGATGAAGGATCAGGTGAGGAAATAACCGCTGGACCGGGATCTTCCCAACGGATACATTTGCAGTTCTGGCTTCGGAAGATTTCAAGTCCTATCACTGACATGGCCAGATTAGCTGGGGTGGGAAAAAAAACAACCTCTTGGACTTCTTCTTGGGAGATTCAGACCTTAACAGATGAACAGAGTTGGATGGGACCTTGCAGGTCATCTAGTCCAACCCCCCGCCCAAGCCGGAGACCTTACACCATTTTTGACAGGTGGCAGTCCAGTCTCTTCTTGAAAGCCTCCAGGGATGAAGCTCCCACAACTTCTGAATAACAAAATAATAACAGAATAGGAAGAGACCTTGTAGGTCATCTAGTCTAACCCCCCACCCAAGCAGGAGACCTTACACCATTTCTGACAGGTGGCAGTCCAGTCTCTTCTTGAAAGCCTCCAGGGATGAAGCTCCCACAACTTCTAAAGGCAACTTCTGTTCCATCGGTTGATCGTTCTCACCATGAAAACATTCCTCCTTATTTCCAGGTTGAATCTCTCCCCGTTCAGTTTCCATCCATTATTGCTTGTCTGGCCTACAGGCGCTTTAGAAAATAGCTTGACCCCTTCCTCCTCTCTGTGGCAGCCCCTCAAATACTGGAAGGTTGTTATCCTGTCTCTCCTGGTCCTTCTCTTTACTAGACAAGCCAGGCCCAATTCCTGCACCCGTTCATTGTTCATTGCACGCTCCAAGGTCTCTCTCAGCTCGGTTATTTTATTCCATTCTTCCTCCCTGCACCAGTGAAGAGCCAGTTCAAGCTAGGTTGCCCAGGATCTTGGACACCACGTGGAGAGGCTAGTGGTGTGCCACGGGTTAATGCACACTCCACATTTATCCCCTAACACAGGAGTGGGCAACTCTGCCAACTTTACAACTGGTGGACTTCAATTCCCAGAATTCCTGAGCCAGCTGGCTCAGGAATTCTGAGAGTTGAAGTCCACCGGTCGTAAAGTTAACATAGCTGACCATCCTTGGCTTAATAGAGCCTAGATCAATTTTACCAAGTTTTGCCACAGGTTGAAAAGGCGATGGAGCGATGCCCCTAGGTGGAGAAGTTGCACCTTTGAGCCTCGAAGAACTGGCTACCAAGAACTGGCCCACCTTATCTAAGCATGTAGTACAGCAGCTTCCTTGGGAACCCAGCACACTGGGTTTTACGTACTGCATGGATGGGGGTGAAAGCAAGGTCCAGTCCACCGGCTGACCATCTCTTTTGGTGTTCTGGCAGCTTATTGGATCGCCCACCAGGCAGTGAAGATGGTGTTCAACGGCTTGGACAACCTGGAGGTCCCGCCACACGACATCAGCTACGTCAAACAGGCCATGTTTGACTACTTCCAGGTAAGCAGGGGGTCCACACACACACACACACACCCCGCCCAAACCTGTTGTGGTTCGCCGGCAGCTGGGTGCGGACGGCTGATGTCTCGGAGAGCGAGGACTCAGATGAGGGGCCTGCATGTGATGCAGGGATGGGGCCAAGACCATCAGGGAGTGGAAAGCTGCCTTTGGAGATTGTGGAGGCTGGCAGCTGTGAGGAAGAGGCCCCCGAGGAGCCTGTGCCCAGTGCGCGCAGGGCTACTCGAAGGAAAGAGCAGCTGCAGCAGCACAGGTGACTCCGGGAGTAAGGCTGCAAGGTGATGGCCCCTCCTTTAAGGGATAAAAGCCAGCCCTCAGAGGTGGGACTCTTTGCAGGAAGCAAAGACGTTCTTGCACTTCAAGCCTTGTGGAAGTTCGGATTATCCTGGTTTGTGTTTGGAGACTTTGGGTTTTGATTATTTCCTTGCAATTTAATCTAGTGTTCTTGGCAGCCTTGCACAAGCTTGGCAAGGCTTGTTCTTATCTGGGACAATTCGTTTTTAATAGCGCTTTTACTGCGAATGAACGGAATTCGGAGGGAAGCATGAAAAAGGTTTCGCTTTTATCTCTGTTTGGTGTTTGTTTGCTTTGAATGAGGCTTGGGTCAGAACAAAGCCAGACCTTCAATGTCCCCCCTCTTCTGGTGTGGGACTTTCGTCTGTGGGAAGGGGAAGGCGGGCCAGAGTTGTAGGTCAGTTGAAGCAGGAAATCTCCCACTGGGAAAGCTGTAGATACCCCAAGGGTGATGCTGTGGGGCTGGTGGGGAGGAATTCCTGGTAAGAGGAGCTCAAGTAAAGGTTGGAACTACCTCTTAACTCTTCTTCCGATTTCAGAGGAGATACACTCTGCAGTGGAGACACATCTGCAGGATTTCTGAGCGCCAAGCTTTAGAAGCTTCCGAGCATCTCTTGATGCTAGAGATGAAAATAATCTGCACCTCAATGCATAAGTCAGTATTGTGATGATGGGTTGCACGGTCAGCCAGATGTTCGGATGGGGTTTGGCATTTTTTTATTCCTTTGTCATCCTTCCCAAGGGCCTGCGATAGGGAGGCGTTGGATGGGGTTAGAGGTGTTGTGGCAGGATGTCAGCTGTTCCCAAATCAAGCTGCCTTTTGCAATTGACCGAGGGTGAATTTGTCAATGCCGATGGTGTTCAAGTGATGTTCTAGTTGTTTTGGGATTGCATCCAAGGCACCGAGGACCTGACTTGGGGAGGGCTCACCTTGCAGCCCTGGTCAAAAGGGCCCAGCAGAGATTATACGACCTGAGACTTCTCAGGAAACAACTGAATGAAAAACTGCTGGTGACCTTCTACTGCTGCACCAGAGAGTATCTTAACTTACTGCACCTCTGTATGGTTTGCCAATTGCACAAGGGCAGACAGGACAGCGCTCCAAAGGGTTAACGTCATTGCCCAGAAGATCATGGGTTGCCCTCTCCCCTCTTTGGAAGAGCTTTATAACTCCCACTGCCTTAAGAAAGTTCAAAACATCCTCAAAGATCCATCTCATCCTGGGCACCCCCCCTTTTTTTTAACTATTACCATCTGGCAGACGGTACAGGATAATAAAAACAAGGGCAAATAGGCTGAAAAACAGCTTCTGTTCCAGGGCAGTAGCTCTTTATAGTGTAGTGTAGTGTTGGTGTGGTGTTGGGGGTTTCCGGTTCAATGTATGGAGGGTGAAGGATGTGTGTTTGTGTTTATTGTCATGATGTGCACTGAAGATGGTGTTTGATTTCATTGTATGAGGTGCAATGACAATAAACTAAACTAAACTATTAATACTGGTACCACCTTTTTCTTGCTTTTGCCACAGTTGCTCTATTTCTATTTTCAGATCTCTGAATTTTGTTATCTTCTCCCGTTCTTTCTCTTCTCTTCTGCTGTCTCCAGCTACTGTCACGTCAGTTATCCAGATTTTTGTCTCTCTGATCAACCGTTGTTAAATCTGGGTGTTATGTGGCAGGTGCCTGTCTGATTGACTTCTAAACTCCGAGACCAAAGTAGCCTCCCTTCTTTTCTGTCATTATGTCTATTTTATGGTCCTACCAGTTCTTGCTTGCAGACAAATGATCTTCCCAATGCGCCATTGTTGCCACTTTTGTCACGCTGTTGCTTCTAGTAAGTCCGTGGGATCTTCTTGCAGCAGCTAACTAGGTAGTCCAAATCATGTTTATTATATGGTGTTTGGGATTCGGATTGGCTTTGGGAAAAGGAAAAGGAGGAAAAAAAGGGGGGAAAGGAAAAGAAAGAAAGAAGAGGAAGAAAGGAAGGAAAAGGAGAAAGTTTTCTGCATGTTTTCCGACAGGTTTCTGACCGAATGGGGCTCCTAACTCACCTCTACAGAACCTTTGAGAAGTCCAAGTTTGCAGGGTTCTGCCTGAAATTGGCTGAAGGTAGGCCTGCAGGTCGAAGGGATGGGTAACTTTAGGATGCCAGGAAAAAAAAACTGCAAGGTCCCTGCTCAGCCTGATCCTTAATCAAGTTCTTGGATTATATTGAGCCAGCAGGAGGAAGTTTTCGCTTTCAGTATTGGGTGGTTGCAGTATTGGGGGATTCTGGGAGTTAAAGGGCGCCCATCTTAAAGTATCCTAGCTGGGGGATTCTGGGAGTTGAAGTCCATCCCCTTAAAGCCTGCTGGCTGTGGGATTCTGGGAGTTGAAGTCTGACCTTTTCAAAGCATGCTTGCTGTGGGATTCTGGGAGTCAAAGGCCACCCACCTTAAAGCATCCTGGCTGGGGGATCCTGGGAGTTGAAGTCCACCCACCTTAAAGCATCCTAGCTGGGGGATCCTGGGAGTTGAAGTCCATCCCCTTAAAGCATCCTGGCTGGGAGATTCTGGGAGTTGGTCCACCCACCTTAAAGCATCCTAGCTGGGGGATTCTGGGAGTTGAAGTCCATCCCCTTAAAGCATACTGCCTGAGGGATTCTGGGAGTTGAAGTCCACCCACCTTAAAGCATCCTGGCTGGGGGATTCTGGGAGTTGAAGTCCACTTGGGTTGTCAAACTTGAGATACACCAATTAGGCTATCAAAAAGGAAAATCAAACTTGTTGCGAAAGTGACGGGACACGCCCAGTGTTGCAGACCCTGTTGTGAAGCTGTTCAGCTTCAAAAGTAGCCAGTTTGGCTGCCATACAGATACTCTGGCACAATCCTCAGATAGGTTATTTTTACCCAAGTCACATCTGTAAGAAAGAACCTTCTGGGGGGAGTGTATATATTGCACGCTGGTCAGGGAAGTGAAATAAAAGGGTAAAACCGTTTCTCTGTCTGTTACCTAGGTGCCACGGCTGGGGACCCCCTGTGCCGCTACATTTTCCACAAAGCTGGAGAAGTCCTGGCCCGGCATATCGTGGCCGTTCTGCCCAAAATTGACCAGGTAACCTGGGGTGGACAGCAAGAAAAGGGAAGGATTGAGGGCGGTTACTGCTGTTCTGACCTAAGCTTCCCAAGATCACGAAGCAGACTGCTCGTCCGAACAAAACCCCTTTTTATTTAGGTTAAAGTGAATTCCTCTCTAGCAAAATCCCGGCAGTCTTTCACGAGATTTCATAACTACAGACCATTTTTTTATCAGGCTTGGAGAGTTGCCAGGCCGATACCTTCCAAACGCTACTCTGTAGCAGAAATTCCTTGGCAAGAAGTCAGGAACAGGTCTTCACCCTAATGAATTGAACTAATTGTCTCCTGCAAACCCCACTTCCCTTTTGCTCCTCTTTATTCCCTAATGGGAGGGGCCATTCACCGTTCACCTGTGCCCTTACTCCCCAGTCAACCCTTGTCCCTTAACTGTTCCCTTCTCCTGGCAGCTCTGTGCTTGCACACACTGGGAACAGGCTCCAGCTGCTCTTCTTCCCTACTGATCTCCAACTCCGAAGGCAGATGATAACTGTCAGATGGCCCTGGCCCCATCTCTGCCTCCGACGCTGAGCACTCGTCAGTGCCTTCCCCAGACTCCAGGACGGGCCCATGTTCCTCCCCAACCTTCTCACTGTCTGAATCTGCCACCAGCTCTGCTGGCCACTGGCGGGCCACAACTGCTTCCTTTCCCTAGTACACACATCCCAAAGTTAATTTTGGTTCATGAAGCAGCCATATTGATCCTGGGACATAACTGGGGGGAGAGTGAAGTTCAAGGGCCTCCCAAGGAGGAGGACAGAAGGGGAGTGAGTCCCTTTTTACTGATCTGCATCCAAGCTGGCTTTTAGCAGGAAGCGTGTCCTTCTCTGGAGCCTTTGCCCCTAAGCCATCATGTGGTTTGGCATCTTGTATGAATCCAGCCAGTGGTGGCTTATTTGATAAACCCTGATGTAGGTAGGAACCCCGGAAAACGACGGGTTGTATCTTACACATCGACCAAAACAGGACAGATACAGACTTCCAACAGATAGTTAGGACTGCAGAACGAACCATCTCCACCAGCCTGCCTTTCACAGAGGATGTGTAGATATCAGGCAGGTCAGAAGGAGAGCTGAGAAAATAACTATGAAGCCCTCACATCCTGGACATAAACCGTGTCCACTCCTCCATGCAGGACGTCGCTATAGTGGTGTGTCTAGTGGCGTGCCAAAACAACTAGGCACAAAGGCAGTTTTTCCCCTCGTGCCTCACATCTAATCCTCAGAGTACTAACACAGAGTTCCCCAAACTCGTGTGTGTGTGTGTATATGTGTGTGTTGGGAGGGGATGACTTGTGCTCGCCTGCCACTTCCACGGCCCGGTTCCAAACAGCTCACAGCCTAGTAGTAGACTGTGGCCCATTGGAGACCCCGAGTTGGGTGGGATTCAGCCGTTTCGGACTGGTTCGGGCGAACCGGATGTTAAATTTATACCTGATTCGCCAAACCGGTAGTTGAACCGACCGGCTGGCCCCTGCCAGGAGACTCCACACGGCCCGTTTTGAATGCAGGTAAGTGCAGGGTCCGTGTGGAGACTCTGGGAGGGTGCAAAATGGGCCTTCCGGAAACAGGCCTGTTTCTGGCTTCCGGAGGGCCTCCAGAGTCCGGGGGAGGCCATTTTCATCCTCCCAGAGGCCTGAGGGAAGCCTCCGGAGCCTGGGGAAGGCGAAAAATGGCCCTCTCAAAAGTTCCAGTAGGCCACGCCAACCATGGCCATGCCATGGGGAGCGAACCGGTTGCTGGGATCTTTGAATCCCACCCCTGCCCCTAGTCTTAACATCTATGTGTATTTACCCATATAGTAAGGCTGGAGTATTATTATTTATCCTTGTTATCTTTACTTCCCTATGATTATTTATCCTTGTTATCTTTACTTCCCTATTATTATTTATCCTTGTTATCTTTACTATTATTGGTATGATTATTATTATAATCCTCCCTATTGCTTTGCAAGGACACGGAGTGCCTCTACACCAGAGACAATTCCTTGGGTGTCTAATCACACTGGGCCAATGGTGGGAAGACACGTCCTAAAATGAGGCAAATTTCAAGTAACAAGTGCCTCGCTCGGCGACATAAATTCTGGGCCCAATTCCGGTCATTAAGTCGAGGACTACCCATACCCTGGACAGAGGGGCCATCAGAGGCGACCCACAGATTCCCCACATCTTCTGATGTTTGTTTCCCTGCAGATCTTACTCCAAGGGGATCTAGGATTGCCTGTTGTCTGCGTGGGATCCGTGTGGAAGAGCTGGGAGATGATGAGAGAAGGTGAGGAATCTGCTTCCCTGTTAGCTGCCCCCAGAACAGGGGTCTCCAACCCCCCCAGGCCACTTTAAGACTGTGGACTTCAACTCCCAGAATTCCCCAGCCAGCTTCTGGGAGCTGAAGTCCACCAGTCTTAAAAGTTGCTGGCTGGGGAATTCTGGGAGCTGAAGTCCACCAGTCTTAAAGTTGCTGGCTGGGGAATTCTGGGAGTTGAAATCCACCAGTCTTAAAGTTGCTGGCTGGGGAATTCTGGGAGCTGAAGTTCACCAGTGTTAAAGTTGCTGGCTGGGGAATTCTGGGAACTGAAGTTCACCAGTGTTAAAGTTGCTGGCTGGGGAATTCTGGGAGCTGAAGTCCACCAGTCTTAAAAGTTACTGGCTGTGGAATTCTGGGAGCTGAAGTCCACCAGTCTTAAAGTTGCTGGCTGGGGAATTCTGGGAGTTGAAATCCACCAGTCTTAAAGTTGCTGGCTGGGGAATTCTGGGAGCTGAAGTCCACCAGTCTTAAAAGTTGCTGGCTGGGGAATTCTGGGAGCTGAAGTCCACCAGTCTTAAAAGTGGCCAAGATTGGAGACCCCTGCCCCAATGAAAAGGAGGGCCAGTGCCAGCTTAACAATCTTGGGCTGCCCATGAAGTAGGCCAGTGGTGGCGAACCTTTTTGTGGTGTGCCGAAAGCTGGCACCCACAATGCAATGCACCCTGCCCCTCCTGCACATGCACACGCAACACCCCCCCCCCTTTACCTGCACTGCGCTTGCGCGCGCCTCCCAGTTGATTTTTGGCCCATTTGAAGCCTTTTTTGGCCTCCCAGAGGCTCAAGGGAACCTTGAGGCTGAAAAACGGGCCTTCCGGAAATACTTCCGGAGGGCCTCTGGAACCTGGGGGAGGAGGCCGTTTTCACCCTCCCGGGGGCTCCTGGGAAGCCTCTGCAGCCTTTGGAGGCCAAAAAACAGGGCCGTTTCGGCACTTCCGGTATTTACCGGAAGTGCTGAAATGGGCCTGTTTTTCAGGAGGCCGGAAAAAGGCCTCAAACGGGCGGAAAAATCAGCTGGGAGGCCCGCGCATGCGCAATGCAGGTAAGTTTGGCTGGGGCTCTGCGCACCACCCGTGGCACGCGTGCCATAGGTTCACCATCACGGAAGCAGGCAATGCAGCAGGATAGCGGGTCTTCCCTTTTGGAAGCAGATGGAGCTGGGCCCCTGCTTGAGCTGTCCAAGGCAAGGAGGCCTCCTTGGAAAGGGATCTGATGGGAAGGATCCACTGGCTCTCCTCACAGGATAGCAGTGCTCCAGTATCTCAGGGGTTGCCCCAAAGAAGAAGGGGGGGGGGCAACCTATTCTCCAAAAACCCTGAACAGGCAGGATAAGCACCAACAGATGGAAGGAAACTGACCAAGGAGAGAAGCAACCTTACAACTTGAGGAGAAATTTCCTGACAGAACAGTTTTATCAGTGGAACCGCCTGCCACCAGAAGTTGTGGGTGCTCCATCACTGGAGGCTTTTAAGAAGAGACCATGGGCTGGGAATGGTGTAGAGGCAGGGTCTCGTGCCTGAGCAGAGGGTTAGTTCAGACTAGATGACCTCCAAGGTCCCTCCCAACTCGATCTGTTCTGTTCTGTGCTTCCAGGATTCATCCAGGTCCTCAGCCAGGCGCACAGCAAGCAGCTCAACGGCGCCTTCTCCAAGTTCAGCCTGCTGAAGCTGAAGCAGTCTTCGGCCCTGGGCGGGGCCAGCCTGGGAGCCAAGCACATCGGCCAGGCCGTCCCTCTGGACTACAAAGCCAACGTGGACGCCTTCTACACACACTCCTTTGCCTAGAGGCAGCAACTCCAATCCATCCTTAGCGATGGGGGCCTTCAAAACGTGGACTCTCTCTGCTGCTTTTGGAGGGGCTCAATTTATATGGGCAGGTCCCCGCGCATGCACACACAGTGTTGCTTTTTAAAAAAAATAGTAGTGTGGTCTCAGGTGGCAATACCACACATACAGCAGCGTGCCTGGAGACAGGTAGCCTTGACTTAACAGTAGCAGGGCGTTAGATTAGAACAGGGGTCGCCAACCTTTTGGACCTCAGGGACCACCAAACTCTTTAATTTTAAATCCCACGGACCAGAGACCTTGGGAAAACTCCCCCAAAAAAGTCTGCAGGAAAATTCCACGCCCCGTTTTCCTACCGATTGATCATTCTTGATTTGGGATTGCAGGATATCATCTCCAGCTCCGTTCTCAGGGGGAGAGAGACTTTTGGCTTCATGCAAGGAAAGCAGCAGAAGCAGCAGAAGTCTTTCTTTCTCTCCCCCAAACTCTGCCAGAAATGACTCTTTGTGAGACTTGTCGCACTGGCGCAGCCTCTTGGAGCAGGAGGCCTTGCAGGGTCCCAAAGACTCATTTCTGGCGGAATTTAGGGGAGAGAAAGACTTTTTCTGCAGCCAAAAGCAGAAGAAAGAAGCAACCCAGTGGCCAGTCCACCTCACTACCTCGTGTTGTTATGCGACGCAAGCCTTGTGTTCCTGTGCAGCCTGGATTAATTGCTTTGCGGGTGTGTGCGCTTTGGGGGTGACATTTCTCTCTGGACCACCAAAATTTTCTCATGGACCACTAGTGGTCCCCAGCCCATTGGTTGGCGGCCACTGGATTAGAAGACTTCCCAGGTCCTTTCTAATTGTTATTCTGTTGCAACTGTTCATTAAATGACTGGTCAAATTTACAACGGCACTGAAAAGAGGGACTTGTGGCTGTTCTTCACACTTTATGACCATTGCAGCATTCTCCAGGGTCCCGTGATCAAAATTCAGGCGCTCGGCAACTGACTCAAGAGTTATAACGGTCGCCATATCCTGGGGTTACACAATCCCCTTTTGCGACCACCTGACGAGTAAAAGCCAATGGGGGGGGGGAGGCAGATTGGCTTAGGAACCGCATGACCAACTTAACCGCCGAAGCGATTTGTAACTCTGGCAGGGAAGGTCGTAAAATTGGGGCAGAAACTCACTTTAACCACTGCCTCGCTTAGCAGCGGAAATTTGCAGCTCTGTTGCGGTTTCCCCTGGCCTGCAAGCTCGGCTGGCAAACTTGGATTCCTGCTTGCAAAGGAGATGGAATCCAATCAGATCTTGCTAAATCCCGGACCGACTGTTCCTACTGGCCATCGTGGTTTGAGCCAGCCCAGGAAGGCCCTGGCTTTTCCTGGACAAAGATGACCCAGAGAGGGGCTCAGCAGGGGCCCTACAACCGTGGGGCTGTCACCAGCTGGAGCAGGGGTCTCCAACCTTGGCAACTTTAAGACTTGTGGACTTCAACTCCCAGAATTCCCCAGAAAGTCGTTGTTTTTTTGGAGTGTTTCTCTGGATGGAGAAGTCTTGAACCTTTTTTTAATCAACTCCCTGTGTTCCATGGGGTTGGAAGCTCAGGAAGGGAGTCCTCCTTTCGCTTTCACCTAATGACCACAAACTCGGGTTGAGGTCCTCTCGCAAACCTGGACAACTTCTCTCCCTACCCAAGGGAAGGCTAAAACCAGGGGTTTTCAAAGCCATGACAGCTTTAAGACTTATGGACTTCCAACTCCCAGATTTCCTCTTCCAGTCACGTTAGTTGGGAATTCTGGGAGTTGAAGTCCACAAGTCTTAAACTTGCCAAGTATGGAGACCCTTGGGATAAATGGATGGATGAATGGAGGTCAGACAGACAGATGTGGATGGATGGGGAGACGATAGACAGACAGATATGGTAGACCAGGGGTCTTCAAAGTCTTGACAGCTTTAAGACTTGTGGACTTCAACTCCCCAGAATTCCTCCTCCTGTCATGTTAGCTCAGGAATTCTGGGAGTTGAGGTCCACAAGTCTTAAAAGTTGCCAAGGTTGGAGACCCCTGAGCTGGAGAGTCAAGAAGTTAGGGCCTAACAGGCATTTAAGACCTCCCGCAAAGCTTGATTGACATTTAGATAAAAGGTGTTGCAAAATACCCTTTGCCTCGTAAGCGTCCTGGTTTATCCCAGCTTCCCAGCCCTGCCATCACGCTGTCTTGCCAGCTGTCCCTGCATTTCTGCTGCCTTCCCACCCGCCCCCTCCCCAAACCAGGCCAACATCCCTGGGGGAGCTGGGGGGGGGGCAGAGAGTTTCCTGCACCAGCCGGGAAGACCCTAAAAAGACCCTGGGCACCACACACCCAGCTCAAAATCGATTTATTGAAGAATGCATTCTTGTAAAAATGGGGGCAGCGCATCGTTGCAAAGGCTTCCTTGGGAGGGGAAAGGGAAGCGGGGGCTTGCACCATCCTGCCCCTCGCTTCTCATCGAACGAGTCAAGGTGGAGAAATATATAAGCCCCTCGGTCCCACGCAAAGCTTAAAAGCCAGAATCTAGAGCCATTCCTGTTCTCCCTTTCCCCACCCAAACCCTTCCCCCAAGACCAGGGGGTGGGTGGGTGGGTATTGGAGCATTTATTTATTTTTTTCTTGCACCAGTTTGCAACACCCGGACTTCCTATGTCAACTTTGCCTCGAAAAAGGTTGGGGAAGGAGAACCTGATGTTGGCCCAGCTCTGCTTGCAAGCAGCTGTGTCCAGGAAAGGAAAGGGAAAGGAAAGGAAAGGAAAGGAAAGGAAAGGAGAAAGGAAAGGAAAGGAGATAGATGACAGGAAGAGACAGAGGAAAGGTAGGAAGGAAAAGAAGAGGCAGGCTGGGTCTCCCTTCAGAGCTAAACCTGACGGCACAGATTACCTGGCCCCAGCCTGGACTTTCTTCAGGAGCTGAACTACAAGCCCCATCATGCCAGGGGGTCGTGGTGATAGGGAAGGATGAGCTGTCAGGAAGGGAGCAGGTTGAGGCAGGCTGGCTTCAGCGAAGATTTAGGGCAGAGGTGTGACACTACCGCCCCTTGTGGACTTCAACTCCCAGAATTCCTGAGCCAGCCATGCTGGCTCAGGAATTTTGGGAGTTGCAGTCCACAGATTAAAAAAGGGCCATAACTCCCGACCCATGACTTGGGGGTGGGTGGAGGGTAGAGGAGCCATGTTGTTAAGCAAAGGAGGGAGGTCTCACTTGCCATCCCTGACTAGAAGCTTATCTCCCACAAAGAGGTCCTTAGGTTGGAGTGGTTGGATGTTTAGATTGTATCGAGCAATGTTGAAGACTTGTGGACTTCAACTCCCAGAATTCCCCAGCCAGCACATGCTGGCTGGGGAATTCTGGGAGTTGAAGTCCACAAGCCTTCAAGCGGCCACGTTTGGAGAGCCCAGGATTATCCCCAAGAGAAGGCTGTTTTTTCCTGTCAACAAGCAGAAGGGAAATCTCTTAGGAGCCCCCACAACCCTGGCCAGAGGCAGAGTTTAGGGGTTGCCCCGAGCTCCTTTGGGTTGAGGGAGCTTTTCTGCTAGTCAAAGAGGTCCCATAAAGGATCTCTGGACTTCCTTGCCTGGTGTGGTGCCTCCTGAAGACCCCACTCCTGCCAAAGCTGCCTCAAAGAATGACATATTCTTAAATTTCCACCGAGCAGCAAAGGACCGTTTGGGTGGGAGATCACAGGAGTTAAGCTTTGCTCGAAAAGGAAGGAAGGCAGCAGCCACTTGCTTCCTTCCCACTCCAGGCCTGGGCCTTGGGGAGCCTCGGGCCCGTTGGGTGGGCGCTAGGTGGTTCTTTTCGTGGGAGGAAGAGGCAGTGGGCCAGGAAGAGAGAATGGTGGGCTCCCTCAGGGAAGGCTGAAGGAAGGATGGGGATTCTAGGTGGAAAGCAGGAGGACATCTCCGGTGGAGGGACCATCGGCCATCTTTTTAGGACGTCCAACTTAAGCAAGTTTGAAGACTTGTGGACTTTTAACTCCCAGAATCCCACCCAGCCAGCAAAAGCTGGCTGGGGGAATCCTGGGAATTGAAGTCCACAGGTCTTCAAACTTGCCAAGATTGGAGACTCTTTATTTTGGGGGTTTGCTCTGACCGGAAGAGGGAATCTGAGAAGAGACATAAAGGATAGAAAATGGCAGCGAGGGCTACACCCAACGCCCAGCACCCCTTAACGTATCAACTCCTCTAAAAAAAACCACCACCTCCCTCATTCCTTCCAAAGGAGAACCCCAGCGGTTGGGCCAACCGGGATGGAGGGGACATCCATCCGAGCCCACAGCCGCCCAGCCTTCCTGTCCCCCCCCCCAAAAAAACCAAGCGGCTGGCCCCAGTTCCCATCGACGCCTTCCACCTACCCACCCCACACCCACCCACCCACCCACCCTGGGCAAAAGCAAATCAGAGGAAGGGGGGCTGCCCCTACAGCTGGAGAAGCAGAAAGTCGAAGCAAACGTCCACCAAGAAAGGGGGCACCTTCGCCTACCCCCCCCCGCGACAAAAGAGGTCCACCTGGAGGAGCAGCTAACCGAGGGGAGGGGGGCATGGGGGACGGGCAGGAAACGCTGCCGGTGGTCAGGCGAGGCTGGAGGCTGTTTGAACAGAAAGCAGAGGGGTGGGGTGCCCCTCTCCCCTGTCCGGAGGTGCCCCTTTGGCGCCGTCCCACGGCGAGCCCGGCTTCTCTCTCCGCTTGGTTGCCAAGTGTCCCAGCGCAGCAAGACGACAAGAGGGATGAAAGTAGCTTTAAGGGGCCTCCGGATCGCCGGCCAAGAGTCTCTTTCCCACCAGTGCCGGTGGGCCCCGCTCCCCCCACACCATCCCCACACCCACCCAGGGCAGAAAAAAGTGTCTTTAGGAAAGGGGGGCAGGGCGGAGGACTCAGTACTTCACTCCAGGAACAAACTCCTTGGCATCCGGGTTTAAGGTGCTTTTGCTCTGCATACGGGGGGGGGGAAAAATGGAGGGGAGAGAAGAGAGGTTAAGAGTTACGGAGGGTCAACGTCAGGAGGAATCCAGCACAAGCGGGCCAACCTACGGCCGTCCAGTTGCGACAACGCTGGAAAAAAACAACTGCTCCTCCTGCTTATACATTTCTGCCTTGAAATAACATGGGTTACAGATGTCGTTCATTTCTAATTTATAGTCCATAATTTCTCCCATTCGTCTAAATCAATATTGTATCCGAAATTCCGGGCCCATGCTACCATGGTATTTTTTCCACAACTGCTTCTTCCATTTTAAATCCCAGTAAATATTCGTATGTTTTCTATAGACATTTTTCCTCTGTTCAGACTAGGATTTTATCTAATTGCTTTTGCCCATTGTCGAATTCAAATTCATCTAAGTCTTTTTTTTTTTAATGTCTATTTTGAATTTGTAAGTATGGCCACCAATCAATTATAATTCCTCATTCTCTTAGTTCTTGATTCGATTTGAGTTTCCCTTGGTTATCTAATAATTCATTATAATTTACCATTTTTTTTACATCTAATTTATTTGGATGGATCATAGCTTCCATGGTTGACAGCCAACCGGGTATCTTCATGTAATGTTTCTTTTTAATCTTCCTCCAGATTTGTATAAGTGAGTCTCTTATTAGATGTCTATTAAAGTAGACATCTGCTTTACCCCTTTTTTTCCCACAAAAATGCATGCCAACCTATCTGGAAATCATGACCTTCTAGCGTTAAAATTCTCTTATCTTTCAGCTTAACCCAATATTTTATCCAATTTAATATTGATGCCTGATAATAGAGTTCCCATTCTGGTAGTCCAAAAACACCTCTGCTCTTATTATCCTGTAATAATTTTAATTTAATATGTGGTTTCTTACCCAACCAGATGAATTTGAATGGTTTTATTTAATTCGATAAAAAAAGTTTTTATCTAATTTTATTGGGATCATTTGGAATAAGTACATTAATGCACTGTTTTAAATATGAGATTTGTATTTGTAGAAAAACACAATAAAAATCTATACATATAAAAAAGAAATAACATGTTAGTTCAGGGGTCGCCAACCTTTTGGACCTCAGGGACCACCAAACTCATAATTTTAAATCCCACGGACCACTAATATGGATTTTGACTGACGGTGGCTTGCTGACGTTGGTGGGAAAGTCAGTACCATGTTTCAGAACTGCAGGAGTCACAGGACTGGCCCTTTGGTCATCCCGGAGCAGCTGCTCCTCCACCCAGGTGCACCGGCCTGCCATGGACTGGAGGAGCTGCTCCGGGATGACCAAAGGGCCAGTCCTGTGACTCCTGCAGCTCTGGAATATGGGACCGGCTCATGGTGGGGTTAGAAATCTCCGCCGTAGGGGCTGGCACCTGTAATGTGCAAATTACAGGTGGGCGGGCCATGTGAGCGGTGCAGCCTTGTGTTCCTGCGCAGCCTGAATTAATTGCTTTGGTGGGGGCATTTCTCTGCGGATCACCAAAATTTTCTTGTGGACCCCCAGTGGTCTGCGGACCCCCAGTTAGCAATCACTGGGTTACTTAGTTCAGGGGTCGCCAAACTTGACAGCTTTAAGACTTGTGAACTTCAACTCCCAGAGTTCCTCCTCCAGTCCAGTTAGCTCAGGAATTCTGGGAGTTGAAGTCCACAAGTCTTAAAGTTGCCAAGTTTGGGGACCTCTGGTTAGTTACAGAAAAGATGGGCTGTAAGTCACTTTTTTCAGCGTGTGCAACTTTGAAGGATCACCAAACAAATGATCACGAGCCCAGGGTTACCTGAACACTGTTCATAAAGTCCCAAAGGTGCTTTTTTAAAAAAAATTCCTCAAAAGGCAACTGGACTTTCTGGTTTCTCTTTTGAGGACGTTTTGCTTCCCACCCCAGAAGCTTCTTCAGCTCTGACTGGATGGTGGGGAATGGAAGGATTTATGTAACACAGGAGGACAAACCCATGAGGACTAGATTCAGCAACCCACCTGCGTTAGAAAGACAAGGGCCCCTCTTTGGAAGACAGCAAAGTCCACATTTTGGACAGAGAGGACCGCTAGTTTGAAAGAGGGGCCCAAGAGGCCATCTATGTCCAAACTGAACATCCCTCTCTCAATAGAGGGGGAAGGATATGACATCATTTATCTCCTGTCTACAACAAGGTCCTTTCAGCGGTTCCAAGAAGGCTCCACACCCATTTGCACCACTCAGGTGGCCCTGAAGACACAGATAAAATCTCCAAGTGGCCTCCACAACCCTCTAAAAGGATGCAAATGACCAGCTCTCTGCAAGGAGTATAAATCCTTCCATTCCCCACCATCCAGTCAGAGCGGAAGAAGCTTCTGGGATGAGAAGGGAAAAGTCTTCAAAGAAAAAGCAGAAAGCCCAGTTGCCTCTTGAAAAAAAAAAAAAAAACACCTTTGGGACAAACCACGTCCTGGATGACTGAGAATCTCCACAGACGATTAATAGAAGTCATCCCCTTTAGGGCATCGGTCCAGTCAGCTCACCCAGGGGTGGGAGTCAAAAATCCCAGCAACTGGTTCGCTGCCCATGGGGGAGTGGGGTCTACTGGGACTTCTGGGAGGGTCATTTTTCACCTTCCCAAGGGTCCGGAAGCTTCCCTCGGTTCAAATACCGGTTCGGCGAGCCAGATGCCAATTTGAACGTCCGGTTTGCCCGAACCGGTCCCACCCACCCCTAAACTCACCCCAATGGGACCAGCCCACTCAGTTGCTCGAGCAAAAGCTGTCTGCCAAAGAATTGCAGCTGGTGGGGGGTCCAAGAGAAGAGCCTTTCCTGCTGTGACCCCCATCTTCTCCCATCTAAAGTGAGCTTCGTCCCTGCACGCCTGGTTTTCTGGGGGGAAAAAACTTTCAGCTGGCTTGCAGCCCCAATATGGGTGTTCTATGTTGAGGGCGGCTGATAGGGGATAGAGAGAGTATCTCCATCTCCATGTTGCTCCCCGTTTTGGCTTTTAGTTCCATCTTTAATTTTAAATATTTTGTATTGTCTTTTTTTAAAAAAAAACCAAAACAATGGCTACCAACCTGCCTTCCATGGAGGACCTGTATCCTGCACGAGTCAAAAAGAGGGCTGTGAAAATATCTACAGACCCCCTCACATCCTGGACATCAACCGTTTCAACTCCTCCCCTCATAACGACGCTATAGAGCACTGCACACCAGAACAACTAGACACAAGGACAGTTTTTCCCCAAAGCCATCACTCTGCTAAATAAATAATTCCCTCAACCCTGTCCAACTATTTACAAAGTCTGCACTACTATCACTATTAATCTTCTCACCACTCTTTATCACCCATCCCCTCCTACTTGTGACTGTATGACTGTAACTTTGTTGCTTGAATCCTTACGATTTATATTGACTGTTTCCTTGTATGATTTGATGGCTTATTGTACCCTATGACTATCATTAAGTGTTGTACGTAATGATTCTTGACGAATGTATCTTTTCTTTTTATGTACAATGACAGCATTTGCACCAAAAACAAATTCCTTGTGTGTCCAATCACACTTGGCCAATAAAGAATTCTATTCTATTCTATTCTATTCTATTCTATTCTATTCTATTCTATTCTATTCTATTCTACTCCACTCCACTCCACTCCATATATTCTATTATTCTATTCTATTCTATTCTATTCTATTCTATTCTATTCTATTCTATTCTATTCTATTCTTCTGTTCTGTTCTGTTCTGTTCTATTCTATTCCTTTTTTTATTCCGCTCCATATTTTCCATTCCATTCCATTCCATTCCATTCTATTCTATTTCTATTCTATTCACCTTTTATCATATTGTAAAACGCCCACAATCGTGTTAACAGGGAGATGAGTGGCACACAAATTTAAAGGAGAATATTTCTAGCTCGGCGTTGAAATGAGGGGGTCCTGGGTGCTCTCTGAGCTGGGTAATTTGCTTGCAGATGTTTTGCGACCCAAACTAGTTGACAGCATCAGTGCATTCATTGCTGGAGGATTTATCAGTCATCAGCTGATGGGGTTACTTGGTTGGATTAGGAAACATTTCTAGAAAACAACCAAGCTGAGAGCACCAAGGGCCCCTTGCATAAATTTAATAATAAATGCATCTGTTTTCTTTTTACAACCCCTTAATCCGTTTTTATTGGGGTGACTGGAGCTGAGCATTTATTGGCCGGATGCCCTTCCTGACGCCTATGCGGAGTTTGCAGCAAATGTTTTTTTTTCTTTTTCTTTGCGTTCTGATAACGGAAACATCAGCCGCTGCCTAGGATTGAACTCTCAACCTCCCAAGGGGGGAGGCGAGCGTCTTTCACCTCTAGCGGGTCACTCTAATAAATACAATAAAATAATAAATGAAAGTTTTATTTTTTTAAAAAAAACGCAGAAGTGCCGCTTATCAATCGGCTGCCCCGGCCCCCGTCCTTACCAAAATGTCCTCCGTGATGTGGCTGTGGCTGTTCTCGCTGACCGAGAGTCCGTTCAGCTGTTGCTGGAGCTGCCCGATGCCTTGAGGCAGGTCGCGGGATGGAATGAACCAGTCCTTGTCTTCCTCGTCCAGCATCTCCTGGAAGCAACGGTCCAGGAATTCCTGCTCCTGAAGCTCCTCCTCCACCTGGCGGGGAAGGAGAGACGGGAAAGAGGTTTAGCGACGGGAAAAGGCTGGGGGGGTCACACGCAGGCCAGTCTCCTCCTCTGGCCACTAGGCTAGCCAGCCTCAAGAAGCGCGTCCTCACCCTCGCAAGCGGGGGTGGGTCTCGACTTCTCTGCAAACAGATCCAATACAGGCCAGTCCTCGACTTGTGACCACTAAGGAGCCCAACATTTCTGTGGTTAAGCGAGACGGTGGTTAGGTGAGTTTTGTCCCATTTTGCCACCTTCCTTGCCGCCGCTGTTAAGTGAGTCGCTGCAGTTCGTACCAGTTATTAAGTGGGCTTCAACTGCCAGAATTCTCCAGCTATGCTATGCTATGCTATGCTGGAGAATTCTGGGAGTTGAAAGTCCACAAGTCTTAAAGTGGCCAAGTTTGGAGACCTCTCTGTTCT